ACCAACATTCCCAGGACCCGCCCACTGGCTATCCCACCAAATCCACCCACTGGCCATCCCACGGAGACCTTCAGTGCACCCACTTTTATTTTAACACTCTTCCAAATTAATATATGAAAATAAAAAGTGTATTCTAAGTCATTAGTGCTTTCAAGATTTACCAGTAAGGAACTACAGCATATTTTGGCCAAAGAGCAGCAAAGAGATATCCCCATATATTGAGCAAAGATACATCCCCATATATTCAACAAAAAGACATCCCTACATATTGAGCAAAGAGATGGCTCAATCCAGCAAAGAGACATACCCAAATATTCAGAAAGGAGATCGCCCAATCCAGCAAAGAAAAATCCCAATCCAACAAAGAGACATCCAAATCCAGCAAAGAGACATCCCAATATAGCAAAGAGACAGCCCAATCCAACAAAGAGACATCCTCATATATCAAAGAGACAGCCTAATTCAACAAAGAGACAGCCCAATAAAGCAAAGAGACATCCCAATCCAGCAAAAAGACAGACCAATCCAACAAAGAGACAGCCAAATCCATCACCACACCATCTGGGACTGTTTGGCTGTAACACTGGATGAGTGTAGGATTCAGTGTGCTCATCTTCCTCTCAATGTGTGACAACCCTCTTTGCCCCTGTGCAGCTGTCACAGTGTGACGACTGGTGTTCTGAAGGAAAAAGGCAACCATTGTCCCTACCATGCGGCTGTACCTCCAGTGGCCTGCCCGGGAGGTGTGTGTCCTCTGCAGGCATTTCCTGTGTTACTGGAGCCTTCTCTCCCACCTTCTTTTGAACCTCCTGCCAGCACTGCTTTAGGCATGGCCACATAGTAGGAGGTGAGTGATGGCTGCGGTCTGTGTTAGTCCTGTCCGGACCAAAGTCGCCTCTTACCTCCAGTTGTGCAGCTCAGTCATCAACAGGATGCTCGATGCTCTTCTTAGGACCCAAATGCCCAGTGCACCCAATGGCCAGTCCAGGCCTGAGCAGGCATATCAAAACAGATGCAATAATCCTTGAGACTGCATAAAGACATATTTAAATTTATATATGTGACTAAAAACATAAACAGTGATGTTCCCAAAAAAAATGATATATATTATAAATAATAAGTCCCGTGATGAAATTTTTTTTTATTAAAGTCCAATATAATTTCCACAATGTGAGTCCACTTTAAAAATAATTTCCAGTGAAAATATATCAATACGTTGAAACCATGTGCTGTGCCCATCATGCACCCCCTCTCAGGTGTGCACTCACCAGAACAAAGCCTTTAATTAGCCTTATCATAAAGGTATCCAATTGTTGGGATCAAGAGGTTTCTCCAAGAATCACCCTTATCATGAATGGTTGCCAGGATCATGGTAAATACTCCACTCCATTGTTACATAGAAAGAGAAAAAATTTTGCTTCAATCATGTATTACCCAAAGTAAACAACTTTAATAAGCCAAATATTGCACTTACAGCAATTAAAAACTCAATAAGCCTTTTAAAACATATCATTCAGTGACTCAGATACTGCATGGTGCTCTCACCACCTCCGGATCTGCCGGACAGAACACCGTCACGTCACTTTCAGTTACAGATCTGTGTCACTTCCGGTCCGCGGCACCGTCACACACTGACGCGTTTCATCATATCCTGACTTAACACATGATTAAGTCAGGATATGACGAAACGCGGCAGAGTGTGACGGTGCGGCGGACTGGAAGTGACGTGACGGTGTTCTGTCCGGCAGATCCAGAGGGGGTGAGAGCACCATGCAGTATCTGAGTCACTGAATGAGGTGTGCATGATGGACACAGCATGTGGTTTCAGCGTATTGATATATTTTCACTGGAAATTATTTTTAAAGTGGACTCACATTGTGGAAATTATATTGGACTTTAATATATTTTTTTCATCACGGGACTTATTATTTATATTATATATCATTTTTTTAGCCACATACAGTGGGGATCGAAAGTTTGGGCACCCCAGCTAAAAATTTGTATTAATGTGCATAAAGAAGCCAAGGAAAGATGGAAAAATCTCCAAAAGGCATCAAATTACAGATTAGACATTCTTATAATATGTCAACAAAAGTTAGATTTTATTTCCATCATTTACACTTTCAAAATAACAAAACAAAAAAATGGCGTCTGCAAAAGTTTGGGCACCCTGCAGAATTTATAGCATGCACTGCCCCCTTTGCAAAGCTGAGACCTGCCAGTGTCATGGATTGTTCTCAATCATCGTCTGGGAAGACCAAGTGATGTCAATCTCAAAGGTTTTAAATGCCCAGACTCATCTGACCTTGCCCCAACAATCAGCACCATGGGTTCTTCTAAGCAGTTGTCTAGAAAACTGAAACTGAAAATAGTTGACGCTCACAAAGCTGGACAAGGCTATAAGAAGATAGCAAAGCGTTTTCAGATGTCAATATCCTCTGTTCGGAATGTAATTAAGAAATGGCAGTCATCAGGAACAGTGGAAGTTAAAGCAACATCTGGAAGACCAAGAAAAATATCAGACAGAACAGCTTGCAGGATTGTGAGAAAAACAATTCAAAACCCACGTTTGACTGCACGATCCCTCCAGAAAGATCTGGCAGACACTGGAGTTGTGGTACACTATTCCACTATAAAGAGATACTTGTACAAATATGGTCTTCATGGAAGAGTCATCAGAAGAAAACCTCTTCTACGTCCTCACCACAAAAATCATCGTTTGAACTTTGCAAATGAACATATAGACAAGCCTGATGCATTTTGGAAACAAGTTCTGTGGACCGATGAGGTTAAAATTGAACTTTTTGGCTGGAATGAGCAAAGGTACGTTTGGAGAAGAAGGGGCACAGAATTGAATGAAAAGAACCTCTGTCCAACTGTTAATCATGGGGTTGGATCAATCATGCTTTGGGGTTGTGTTGCAGCCAGTGGCACAGGGAACATCTCACGAGTAGAAGGAAAAATGGATTCAATAAAATTTCAGCAAATTTTGGATGGTAACTTGATGCCATCTGTGAAAAAGCTGAAGTTAAAGAGAGGATGGCTACTACAAATGGATAATGATCCTAAACACACCTCGAAATCCACGGGGGATTACACCAAGAGGCGTAAACTGAAGGTTTTGCCATGGCCTTCACAATCTCCTGACCTCAACATAATTGAAAATCTATGGATAGACCTTAAAAGAGCCGTGCGTGACAGACAGCCCAGAAATCTCAAAGAACTTGAAGACTTTTGTAAGGAAGAATGGGCAAAGATACCTCAAACAAGAATTGAAAGACTCTTGGCTGGCTACAAAAAGCATTTACAAGCTGTGATACTTGCCAAAGGGGGCAGTACAAGATATTAACTCTGCAGGGTGCCCAAACTTTTGCAGACGCCATTTTTTTGTTTTCTGTTGTTTTGAAAGTGTAAATGATAGAAATAAAATCTAACTTTTGTTGACATATTAAGAATGTCTAATCTGTAATTTGATGCCTTTTGGAGATTTTTCCATCTTTCCTTGGCTTCTTTATGCACATTAATACAAATTTTTAGCTGGGGTGCCCAAACTTTCGATCCCCACTGTATATGTTTTTTTAATTTTTTGCACATTTTATTTATGTTACAGGAATGTTAATGAAGGCAGATAATGACACACATGAATGCAAATTAGAGTTTAATGTGTCGCATATGTCATGCGCCTCTATTAATCAATAAAATTAGGGGTGATAATATAGAATGTATGTTTGATATTGAAAGAAAAGTGGCAGCAATATAGTATAATTGAGAAGTTTGTTTAGTAGCATCCGGAGCGATTAAGAGATCCTAAATTCATTGTTTCTGAGGGGTCACTTATAAGGAATATTTAAATGTATGACTGAATCATATAATGCATTAAATAGGAATGACAGCTACTGCTCCCAGTCAGACATAACTAGAATAATATCAAAGATTTAAATATATATATATATATATATATATTAAAGTAGAAAAACCTGTCCTTTTAACCACTTCCAGACCGGACACTTTTACCCCCTTCCTGACCAGGGCAATTTTCAGCTTTTAGCGCTATCACACTTTGAATGACAATTGCGCGGTCATGCAACACTGTACCCAAATGAATTTTTTACCATTTTTTTGAGATAGTAAAGCTTTATTTTGGTGGTATTTATTCACCACTGGGATTTGTATTTTTTTTTGCTATGTAAATAAAATGTCCAAAAATTTTGAAAAAAAGTGTTTTTTTTATAAAATTTTGCAAATAAATATTTCATCATAAATCTTAGCCAAAATTTATTCCGTTATCTTTTTAGTAAAAAACAAAAATCCAAATTAGTTTATAAGGAAAAATTATAATTTTTAAACATTTTTTTTTACATTTTTATTTTATTTTTTTATATTATTATTTTTTATTTTTTTTTTTTTTTTACATACTGTCACCCTAGCAGTACAGTGTCACCATGGTGACACTGTACTACTTGTGAGGGGTGATGAAGATTTTTTTTTTTTTTTTTACACTGATTGCTTTTACACCCATATAGGATGTAAAAGCATTCATTTCTCTTTCTCTCTGTGTGCATTCTTGCACTCATTGAGAAGAACTGAATGAGCTGTGATTGGTCACAGCTTGTCACATGGTACAAGGCTTTTGTGAATAGCCTTGTACCATGTGACCTCTGTGATCATTCACAGATTTCACACATAGTAAGCAATGATGTCAGAAGTGACATCTTGCTTACTACTTTGCATGTGATCACTGATTGGCCAGTCGGGAAGTGGTTAAAGGTCATGTGTGGCCCCGATACCGACTGTCTATGCTAAGATGTTCAGGTTGTTGAAAAAGCATCTAAAGTTGATTCAACTTCTTTATTAACCACCTCCCGCCTGCCTGCCATATTGTACAATGACGGGCGCAAGGTGGTTCTCTCGTTCTGATAGGACGTCATATGACGTCCTTCCATTCTCACTGTGCATGCGCGGTTCAGGGAGCACACAGTGCGGCAATCGCCGGTGCGCTGTGTCCCTCGGACACAGCGGATCATGGAAAGAGCCGAAGATGTCGGCTCGGTCATGTGATCCGCTGTGTCCAATCACAGCGGATCACATGTAAACATGGAAAGGCAGGGTATCGGCATTTCTCTCCTCTCGAGCTGTCACGCTGATAGCTCGAGAGGAGAGGAGAGCCGGTAATCGGCTTTCCGCGGAGGGGATATGTACACTGATCATCAGGGCCCTGATGATCAGTGTGCCCTGATGTTCAGTGTGGCCCCAAAAGTGCCACCTGTCAGTGTCCATCAGTGCCAGCAGTCAGTGCTCATCAGTGCCCCGTGCCAGTGCCACATCAATGCCACATATCAGTGCATACCAGTGCACATCAATGCCACATATCAGTGCCCATCTGTGCTGCCTTTAAATGTCACCCATCAGTGCCAGTCAGTGCCACCTATCAGTGCTGCCAATCAGTACCACCTATCAGTGCCAGTCAGTGTCGCCTATCAGTGCCAGTCAGTGCTGCTTATCAGTGCGCATCACTGCCGCCTATCAGTGCCAGTCAGTGCCGCCTAACAGTGCCAGTCAGTGCCGCCTATCAGTGCCAGTCAGTGCCGCCTATCAGTGTCACCTATCAGTGTCATATATCAGTATCATGTATCAGTGCTGCCTTTCAGTGCCCATCAGTGATGCCTGTCAATGCCCATCAGTGCAACCTACCAGTGCCTCCTCATCAGTGCCCATCAGTGCCACCTGTCAGTGTCCATCAGTGCAGCCTATCAGCGCCCATCAGTGCAGTCTCATTAGCACACATCAGTGAAGGAGAAAAATCACTTATTTACAAAATTGTATAACAAAAACTAAGAAAAAACATTTTTTTCAAAATTTTCAGTGATTTTTGGTTTGTTTAAGAAAAAATTAAAATCCCAGAGATGATTTAATACCACCAAAAGAAAGCTCTATCTGTCTCAAAAAAATGATAAAAATTTCATATGGGTACAATGTTGCATGACCGCGCAATTGTCATTCAAAGTGCAACAGCGCTGAAAGCTGGAAATTGGCCTGGGCAGGAAGGGGGTATAAGTGCCCTGTAGGCTAGTGGTTAATAAAGTGGTTACCACTGCTAGTAAACATTCTGCCTAAGTAAATTCAGTCAAGACAGATGAAACTAATCATTGTTTCACAGAAACTGTTGTAGAGGCAAAACAGAACAAATTAGGTTATACACAGGTTAACAAGTTATTGTAATATCTTTGAATATAATTCAACAGACAATGATTTCAGAGCCTCTCATTCCTAAGAAATACAAGCATTATGAATACGGTGAAATTGGATGTAAAAGGCATATGAACTTTGACTTGCATTTATTAACAAGTTTTTAATTCGTTTTTGTCTGCAAGATTCTGTTTACATCTAGCAATGTCAGATTGTTGTGGTTTTAGCGTGTTTTTAAAAGTTTTGAGAAGCACCTTTCATTTGAATGGGCTGCTCTCCACTCCAAAAACACACCAAAGTAGCTCCTGTACCTTTTTTGGAGATGGTTTTGGTGCATTTTTTGAAAGTACAGTTTTGACGTTTTTGTGCATGTTTTGTTATACATCAAAATGGTGTTCCTTTAGCCTTTTGTGCATTTGGGGTACCATGAACCATAATGGCACCCAAACGTATGTAGCTCATTTTGCAGTGACTTTACTGCATTCCAGAATTGCAGGCAGAATTGCGCTAAACTGCGGCTGATTCTACGCCAACATGTGAATGGGGCTTAAAGGATTTTCAGACTACACAGTCACCTAATACTAATAGCTCTGATATTCTTTAAAACAAATATCCTATATATCAAGGTACAGCGGAGCATGTGATTCACTGCATGTGACAGTATAATTGGTACTGATCAGTCATATGTGGAGGTGGAGAGAGTCCTTAGCCCTGTGTAGGCTCCAATTGGACTGATTCACACAGGGTTTTCCCTTCTGGAGTCAGAACAGAGCATCAGAAGAGCAATTGGAAGTTAAGTATGTGCTGCTGGATTGGGGGCCTAAAAGTGAACCTTCAAGCTGAATTTCAGGTATGAATATTTTTTCATAGTTGCATTGGTCTAGCTTGGACCAATGTAACTATTCATATACCATACTTGTGAGGATCCTTCTGGATGTTGCAATTGCTGTAGTAGGCACCATTACTACAGTGATCAACATTAGCTTCCTGTGCTGAGCAGTTGCTGCTTACTGAACACAGGAGGTTAGTTGTTCGACACAGGCACCACATTTGCCCAAGCTGGCCAATGTAACTATATAAAAATATCTATATCTGGAATTCATCTTTAAAGTGGCACCACTTTAAAATGCTTTTGCTTGAAAATGTATTAAGCAAGCTGGTTGGTGCTAAATAATATAAAGTTCTAGATGCCAGATCAGAATATTAACAATTACCCTATAGCAGTGGAGATTCGGGCTTTGGTAGACCATATTTCCTTCCATGATAGTTTGAATTTCTAATTTGACAATAGGGTCTTACACCCAGAACACAGAGTCTGTACATAAACATGTCTTGAAAGCTGCTATTCTTACATGCGCGTGCTAAAGATTTTACTGTAACCCATAACATTTAATGTGGATCAAATGTCTGTTCTTGCCACTTGGCATTACACAGCCACTATTCACTGAAATGTTTTTACAAGGTTGTTCACATGTGATGAATAGGTCATTTCATTTAATGTGGTTATTCTTACAATTATTTCACAGGCAGCATAAGTCATTGAGTTCAGTTTGGCCTTCCATGGAGCTCTCTTTACCTGCACTTTTTGATTGCTCGCACCACTATCCAATATAGGAGACTTTATAGCTTCCCTTTGGTTGGGTACTATGTTGTTTGCAAACCACCAGCTTCACTTCCTACCTGACAAAACAGAAAGCTAAATACATTTGAAGAACACTTGGTAAATCTGTGTAAACATTTTTTGTCTCCACTCCTTAGTTGCCATAAGATGGGAAACATAAAGTCCCATGTCAAACATATTCAGTTACGTTTAATGACACGTTAAACTCAAAACTGAATTTATTTTGTTTTTTTACATCTGCCCGGAGCCTCAGACTGGTTGGTGTAGATCTTGGTAGATCCATAACTGATGAAGAAACTACTAGATCCTTTACTTTTGCCCATAAGATCAACATACTATATCTAGTGCATCCCAAGAAAAAAACTACACAATATGCAGTAGATGGTACAGATTTGCATACCTGTTACATAAGAAGCTTCCGTTCACCTTGAACTTATGTTGGTGATATGCCACAGAGGTTTTTATGGAATGGACCCAAGAGTTATGCCATCTCATGTGAATTGAGCACCTAATGGCCCACATACATGACAGATTCTGTTTAATTCCGTTTGAGGTCCCTAGTTTCTCTTCATGAGCTCTGCTGAATTTAGTGCTTTTAATTTCACATTCATTTTCCCAAACTTTGTTGACTTTAGTAATCCCATTATGCCAGAGCATACAGGTCCATTGCCATGGCATGCACTATATACTTCCTCTCTACTGCCTTTTACCTCCTTTCTTTTCTCTTCTTCTTTCCCTCCCTTTTTAGTGAAATTTTGAATGTTTTTATAATACAGCAATCATGCAATTAGTACTCTTTGATATTCAGTTTCAAGAGTGCTCCAAAATATGATTCAGGAGGCTTACCTAACTGAGGCTGTACACTCATGGCCAGGGGCGGACTGACCATTTGGAAACTCGGGCACTGCCCGAGGGCCTTGGGTCAGTAGGGGGCCCCATAAGATGTCCCTGGTACCTTTTTCATTGGCTTTTTTGAGTTTGGGCATGGACACAGGGGCCCCATAATCCCCTTATGCCTGGGGGCCCCATGATCCCCTATTGCCCGGGGGATCCATGAGTTGTCAGTCCGCCCCTGCTCATGGCATTGTTTAACCTTAGTGTATTATCTTATTTATGAATGTACAGGGGTTAGACAAGAAAATGGAAACACTACATGATTTGTAGGTGTGAAATGATGACAAGTTTGGAAGTGGAAGTGATATAACATTAATTTGCTTCTGCTGTGTGATGAGACAGATAGCTAACAGGTGGGAAGCCTCACTTTTGTCATTCACTGCATGTGCTGCTAGTAGTACAGAGTCATGTCAGAGCTTACTGAGCTTCAAAGAAGGCAGATTGTTTGCTCCTGCTTAGCTATTGCCTCTGTTACTGAAGTTGCCAATTTATTTGCCATGCTAAGAAGTACAGTATTAAAGGTTAACATGGCAAATATAGTTTCAGGAAAATGTCGCCTGATAGAAATAAGTGTGGTCGACATGGTCAACTGACCGAAGGAGACAAAAAAGACATTGCACAGGATTGTGACCCAGAATATAAAAACAACTCCTGCAAAGGTGACTACAGAGCTCAAACTCAGTTTTCAAGGGACTGAGATTGAACTCTGCAGTCACTTTTGAGCAGTTGTTTTCTTATCCCTTCCTGCGCAATGTCCTCTCTGTCAGTGCTGGCTCTATGCTCTCTGATGCTCTGGGATGGCAGGTCGGCAAGCCTAGATTGTGATCAATGGGTTGTCAACCCCGGGGCATGTACTTCTCTGGTTTGAAGTCGAGGGCCACATCAGAGGACTGCAAGGGCCACATGTGGCCTAAGCACCACAGTTTTAGAACCCCTAACTTAGGCTTTCAGAGTGTGTGTTATTGTAAGTTTGTTGCATTTATACATTTGTTATGTATTAAAGTTTAAAACGCCACAATAACTTTTAATACACCTGGTATAATAGTTTGGTTTTGGTTTGTTATAGGTGTAACCTAAACTTATGTGCCTTCACCCTCATTTATATATACAACGGCTTTTGTGTTCTCTAAGGACCATCGGCACCTCGGTTAGTTTTCATGGCATGTTTGCTTTAAATAACATTCAGAGTAATGTAACAACTGAAAAAGCATGCAAGTAATTACAACTGAAAGTGCCAATCTTGCAGCGTGTAGAGTGTCAACAAACACAGCAGAAAATTGCCATGAAGTCCATTACGATGACTTCAGAGAGTGAAGTAGTTAGGGGCTATAGCAACATAGATAATAATTATTATAGTGGTAATGTTAAAGGTTAAAGGAGCTCATCAGAGGCACAGGCACTTCACGAACCTCTTTGCTTTACCAAGAAAGATGTTGAAACATACAGCTAAAATGTACAGGATGCATGTCGTGCGTCATCCTGTCTTGAGGCTCTCCAGATTCTGAGGTTGACAGACAGAAAACATTAACCTAATGGCAGGTAGGTGGGGGGAAAAGAGACTCTACCTGAGATATTTTAGTCACACTTGACAGCCGAAGACCTTATCAACAATAAATATTTCAGAGAAGCAGGAAATATGCAATGTTTCCAACATTGTGTTTAATCTTATATTTTCCTTTTCACATGAAAACTTGATTTAAAATATATACACTATTTGAAAAGCATCATCATTTAAATTGTCTCGATGTTTGTAGTATAAAATGTTGCTTGGAAAATAAGGTAAGTCCAGTAA